ACCGTGCGATTTTAAAGGGGGGAAAAAAGCAGACAGGGCTCTTGGAACAACACCTGCAATAGGGAGCACAGTCACAGCTCCTACGAGTAAAAGTTAAAACCCACCTACCCAGTAAAGCAGACGAGCTGCTAGGCACTCAGACAGGACTCGGGTTTAGTCTCCTACTAAACAGTGCCTTAGAAGCTTACACCGATTTATCCAGCACTTCTCCTTTCGCAGCAGAAAATAAAGTGGGTCAAAGCCAGCTTTTCAGCAGTAAAATCAATCTAAAATTACACCACTTGGGGAAACCTAGGCGATGATGAGAGCGAGCGAGGAGCATTGCTGCACTGATCCACCCCTGCGTTTCCTCCTGTGTAAGAGGTACAGACCACGAAGCATTTGTACACCATCTTTGCTCAAGCCTTTGGAGGACCATCACCCTTCATTTCTGTACGAGAACTCAACAGTCACCGGGCACTACAAAAAGTTGTAGTAAAACCTCCTCAACCCCAGATTTACGCTTTAGCTTAGCTTAGTAAATATAAGGGAGGAAGAGTCACTGCTGTTGAGGTGAGAAGAAATGTATTCCGGAAACTCAGTCTGCCTCTTGGTATCCAAAGAGATTAAGGAGGGCTTTATAAGAGAATAAACCCCCCTTCTCTGCCCAGGATGGGTGCATTCTGCCTTCTCTCTTCAGAAAGATTTCACAGCACTAAACATCTATAAGCTTTCATTTTTTTATTTCTTTTTCAGTGGAAATATGTCAGAGCCCAAACACGATGCCATTTGATTTCCTGTGTTTGGAGTGTTTGAATCTCACGTGGGCCGTTTTGGAAATTTGATGTTGGTCTCTGCAATCAAAACTTTGTTTTGAGACTGATTGTATTTTCTAAAGGAGACCTTAAGGTACAACAATTGATCCATTTGCAGTACTGGAGTATTATTCTGTGCTGTAAATTCCTCCCTACAAACACTAAGCCTTTTCTTTTTTTTTTTTTTAGTGGATGTGGATGCTGGATGTGCTGGTATGCAAAACTGATTTGTACCACACCATGTAAAGACAGCCCAAGGCAAGGCCATGCCATCCACAAAGGACACAAGAGCAGCAAGTAGCATCACCACTACAAGTATATGAAATCCTGTTTAAAATTCTTGCTGTTTTTTTCCAATTCTACCTCCCAACCTCTCAGACCCCTAAAAGTTGACAGGACATTCAAAGACACTGTGCGGCTAATCACAAGATTGATGGTGCACCCTGTGGTTGTCCAGCATGCTTACTTGACAACATGCACTAAAACACAACACAGATACCTTCATCTGCCCTAAACCCAGCTCATTATTCAGCCTTAAACCTAGTTCTGGACTTCTCATCTGCCCCTCTAATGACTTACGGGTTTTCATAACTTTTTCCATGAGCACAGCATCTTCCTGCAGGAAACCATCCGCCATTACTTACTAGCTCCAAATTTTACTTCTCCTATGCTGTGCTTTTCTTCTTCCCCAAAAGGCATCGCTTTATCATCCAATTTCTCCTTGAAAGTTCCTGTGTTCCCAAAACTCTATGGCTTTCCTCTCCCTCCCTTTCTTCTGGCCAAGTCTCCAGCTACTAAGAGGATAACTGCAGGTGTTATGCATGGAGACAGGTCCTGTACGTGCAGGCAATTCAAGCGCGGTTTTTGTTTGTGACCCCCCAACTATGCGTGTAAAAGAGGCCAGGGGCATCAGCAGGTTACTGCTTTCCTCGGCACTTGCAAATGTGAATTTTTCCTGCTAGGAGATTTTGTGAGTGCCAAATGCTTTGCCAAAGATTTTCATATGATCTGGCTGGAGAGCAAGAAGCGTCAGACGTCTATTGTAAACTAGGTTTCCAGCCCAGTTTTGTCCTCAGAAGTGATTCAAATGACTTTTAGAGGAATCTGACTTTGCAGTGATCATCTGCTGCACCCCGTTAGTACCTACAGTGCCTCAGACCTGCAGTCTAACATATCCTGAAATTAATCCTATTTGGTTTTATCCCTGCCTGGTCTGTCCTGTCATCTCTTGCCTGAACTGCTTTTCATACTCTGCTATGCAACATGTTGTTCCCTTTTCCTCCTGTACTTGCATAAGAGAAATACAGATATAAAGGAAAGCAATTATTTTGCAAGTAAAACTAGAAACACCCAGGCTAAATCAGGCAGTTTTCTGGCATCATCTTAAAAAAGCTGGGCTCAAAGTACAACGGAGAAAAAAACCAGCCTCCTCATTATGAAAGAGTGATCAGCTGAATAAGAAATACAAGAAAAAAAATGGAGAGAAGAGCAAAGTAAAAAGCGTTCAGGTTAAACGCTCTTTGACAGGACCCTGAAGGATCATAAACCTGCCGCAGTGATCCTTCAAGCGAAAGAGGGGTTAGAGGCACCTTCTCTGAAGGCCCCAAAGGCTTTGCAGGCATCTGGTTCAAATTACTTACCGAGAAAGACAGAGAGTGAAGGGGGCGGGGGGGGATATGCAAGAATAGAAATGAAGAGGCAAGCGAGCGACCTCAGCCAGCAGAGCAGGGGAGAACATGACAGCCCAAATGGCAGTTGTTTTCTCGGCACAGGACAACCAGCGAGTGGGCTGCCTCGTGGCAGCACACCGAGAAGCGCTGCGTGGAGAAGGCAGCTCTGTTTTGTAAACCCGAGTGGCGAATCTTCCCCTTCAGCCTCCCTTGCAGAGCTGCAGACAAACTGTGCCAGAACTCCGCTTGCCTTTTTTTTTTTTTTTTAAATGCCTAGTGCTTATTTTTAAATATTAAGTCTCATTCATGGCAGCAAAACCATGCAGTTTCCTCCTTTGGGAGCGCATCGTTTGGTCCCAGGGCAGGTGTCTGGTCCCAGCCCGTGCTGGACAAGTGTCTCACAGATGGAATAACTGATCCGTCCTCTTGCAGAGCTGATGGAAGGATTGATTTCGTTGGAATGAAGTCAAGCTGTGGGGCTGTGACATTAGACAGAATGGGCAAGAACCTTGCCTGGTAAGGCCATCGTGATCCTAAGCGCCGCGGTTCCAGGATGTTGTTCAGACATTTGTGTACAACAGTCTGAGATTCATTGATTCCTCTCCTTTGTTTTTCCCAGCTTCTAAAATCAGCCTGCCTGTCTTTGAAAAGTGTAGGGAGAGGTGGAAAGTTCAGCCAAGCTGAATGATCCATGGTTTTGGGCCTTAGACTAAATGGACTTGTTTGTTTAGTTGTTGTGTGTTTTTTTAGAAAACAGGCTGGCACAAAACAAGACTGTTATTAAACCTACCGTGAACAGTACATCTACGACATCACACAAAAAAGGATATTAAATCTTTTCCCCTGAATCACAAAACGAAACAGCACTAGTTAATGCACTGAGAAGTTAAACTGGCCCAGAATATTTCAGTCTCCAAAAAAATAGACAGACAGATTTTTCTAATACAGCCTTTTCAGCCAGCAGCACAGATGAGATGTGCTAGGGACAGAGATGAGAATATTTTCTGCAGTAAGATTATCATCTCCATCACACCTGATACAAATGCATTTTCCAAACTTGTTATCTCCACTGGCTGCGGGGTCAGCCTCACGGTGTCCTGTTCAACAAAATACTAAACACTATTTGTTATTCTGGGCCAGAATAACAGCATGAACTTTTTCACGCAGGCAGCCCAGGCTCCGGTTCCAGTCACCGATCTCTCACTCTGAGCACTGGCCAAACCTAGGAGAAACACAAGAGCTGCATCATGAGCACCACAGGGAAACAAAAAATGGTGCACTGGGGAGGCAGAAACGAGCAGAGGTCTGGGTTCCCTCGTCGGTGGTCATTGCACATCACTAGGAAACAACCAGGTCATATATTTTAACCCAATTTTCCTAATCCATAGGGCTATTTCCCAGATGAAATGATGTAATCAAACAGGGATGCTGATGATGTGGGGCTGCCCAGAAGAGGGAGGGTTTAGAGGGAGAGTAAGACAGGCAGAGAACCAAAGCAAACATGACATCTCCTTGGGATGCGGCATGGTCTTCAGCGTGCGTTTCAGAGAGAACAGTCTTCCCCTCAGCTGCCACGGAGCTTGTCAAATTGCCTGGGAGGCTCAGAGGAAAGTCATCTTTCACACAATTTCACAAAGCAAAAGAAATCTTCATTTTTTGAACCATATCCCCTAAGCTTCTAAGGGAATTAAATCTCTGACCTGCCTATTGAACCCTGCGCAGAAGGGAGAGGAGAAGGAAGAGCACAAGGTCAAAGACGATGTCTTGACTCCCTGAGGAAGGCTCGAGAACGCCCAAATAATGTGGCAGGAGCTGACAACAGCAAAAAGGGCATCTCCTTGTCCCTTTGCTTTCTTAACAAATACTGAGCAAAAAAAAATTAAGTGCGCAAATCCTTCTTGTTTGTGAAAGGCCAGATCGCCACCGGAGGTGGCTGGGTACAGCAAAACCTGCTTCAGCAGAAAAACAGGGACAAGCAAAATGGTTCCTTGTCCCCTTAAAAAAACAATAACCAGAGCTGGTCACGGACTAATTAGTGAAGTAATTTTACATCCAAAAGTGCTGAAGAGTCAAAACGCAGCACTGCTTTTGGAAAGGGGAGGGCTGACACCTCCCTGTGCGACACACAGACCAGAAAGCTCTTCCCAATGCGGGTCGCTTGAGGCCAGCGTGAACTGGCCAGCGTGTTTGGCCCCACCAAAACATCTACTCATAGCCTACACAATACTTCACTGGTTTTCCAAAGAAGTGCTGAAGGAGAGAGGCTACAACATGTTGAGACATACAGCAAAGGCCACCCCAGATCCCAAGGGCATAAAAAGCAGAGCCAATACGTATTCCAGCCTCCCTCTACCCCGCTCTCATTTCTTTTGAAACCTTATTTGCCATTTTCAGAACCCATTTTTCAGACAGAAAACAGACACACTGGAAATAAGCATCAACAGTAACAAACACAGACACCAGTTCAGTTCACCGACCGCTCTGAGCGGCATCGTCAGCGATTCATTGTAGTGGTAAAAAGAAGAAAGTCACTCACCCTCACGAAGCTGGCGGGAAACCATCCTTCTTCATCATCGATCTGACCCCACCACCAGTCCTTGTTGGAAGCATCCAGGACCTTGATAACGTCTCCTGCTTTAAACGCCAACTCCCGGTTGGCCATGGTGACGTGATCCCATACTGCCTCAGCACTTACAATAGAACCACCACTGATCAGCTTTGAAAACAGAAAACCAGCAGTCAATAAAAGCTCAGTTCCCCAACACAAGCACATGCACAGCAGCAGCACAGACAAAAGCGCTCAGCCAACGTAAACCAATTTTCCTCCATTCCAATCCATAACAATTTCACCCTCATGTGATGCCATCCAGTCTGCAACCATTTCTACAGACCGCCGTCCTGCTCCTAACCATGCCACGCCAGCGAGCACCGTGCGGATGTTCAGCACCTCTCAGGTCCTACGCCCGGGAAAAGCAACACCCACCCTGCCACCACCACCCCATATTTATGAGCATGCACATCATCAAGGTACATGGCTTTCCGGTACAATTCAGTTAGCATAATATAGAGCTGGGAGGTCCCAAAAATGGCAGAGCCAAGCTATGGTGTCCTGCAAAGGAATTTTCGTTTTGGAGCAAGTTTGCTCACTTAAGGATCAATTGTCAGCTCGAGGCTCAGAAGGCTTTCCATGCAAATCCAAGCAAAGTTTCCAGACGTATTTAGAAGAACACTTTTTTTTTTTTTTTCCCAACTGAGATTTCAGTATTTTTTTAGTGCTGGTGATGTACTGACATCCCTTCCTTTCGAAACCTTCGCGTGTGCTGTGTACAGCAGATAAGGGCACCGTGGCAGCCCGCTGACCAACAGGTCAACCTGGAGCATAGCCCAGCTCCACAGCCCATTCCAGCCTCGCGCTGCCCACAAGAAACCTGCCAGCGCTGGCTGCTGCGACAGCCTTCAGGGTGCAGATGCCTGCCCACTAGAAACTGGACTGAGGCCAGACCTGTGTCCGACAGGACCTACTGATCGTCTCTCCACATGGAGCACACGGGTGCCTTAGAGCTGGACCAGCACCACGGCGGGGACCTACCCAGTGCTCAGTTTCCTTGTGAGCTGCCTGGTTTTGTATATATAAAACTCCTGCTTAATGCTCGCGGGAAGGACTCATCCAAACGCTGGTACTTGTGCATCCACAAGACAAATCATCGATCCTTGCCTGGGACACCCGCTGCTCCTCAGAATGATAGTAATGTATTTTTTTAACAGTATAATAAATTGTGTTTATGTTTTGGCCACTGCAGGAATTCTGCACTGAACAGTTAAGACTGCCCTAGCAAATACAGACTTTACCTATACGCTTATTAGCTTGTCAGAGCCATCCTGAACCTTGTTCATTAATTCTGCCGTCTGAGATGCACTGAATATGCACTTGGGCTCGCCTCCAAATCAGAGTTTCAGCTCACAAAGAAAGAGCTCAGCGCTGCAACCATTACAGACCTTCCACATGGCAAGACTTTAACAGCCACAGATACCCTTTCAATTTAGGCAAGCAATACAAAGCATAAAGACAATAACCCGTCGCAGCAGTTATGTAAGTGCAGAAGCACTGGGAATGGTTAGAGTGCTCTTAACGGCTCTTTTATAAGTTTGGCTTAGCAAAATGTCTGCTAATAACTACCTGCACAGTAAGAACGTGCAGTAAACCTTCTAGCACTGCTGCAGGGTTCTCAGCATAAACATGTAAGAGCATTCAAGTCCCTACGGGCCGTTCAGTCAACAGATTTAAGGACCCGATTTACCCTTTTCCTTGAACTGACTTTCCTTTAAGGAATCAAGGTCCTTAGGTTTGTGACAATTACAGTTGCAGTTTCAGCTCTTCAATTATTAGAGTCAGTTGTACATGAAGCAGCAAGATCTAAGAGAGCCTAACTTGACACTTAGTGCCTTTCATCCTGAAAGCCAAGACGTATCTAGTCAGCGGACCTCTTGTTCCTGCAGCAGATAAAGTAAAACAATGTTCTTCCTACTTCCATTTTGATAAATTGTCCTTTCTAATTCAAAATCAGCTGTAAAAGAAACACGACTTCTTCGGATGTCATATAGGGGATTTCTACACACGAGCCTCACAAGATCACCTGATAGCAGACAGAAAACAAAGTATGAGTTAATAACTCAACTAACTTGAATATATAATAACCTCAACACTTGAAGAGTCAAGTGATGGACCTAATCGATGGGCTGACCTTACCACAGAGGGCATCAACTGTATTAGCGTGGATTTATCTCACTTTTGGGCTTTCAATACAGAGCAGCAAGGAGCCAGGCACCAGAGGATCCCATCCAAACTGGGGGCAGCTGAAGCCAGATGGTGTAGGACCCTCAGTTCACCCCAGCTCTGGGCCCTCACTTAGCAAAGTAGGGTAGCTACATCTGGAAAAATAAGTTATCAAGATTGATTTCTATTTCCAGTGCAACAACTGGACGCTCAGCCCAGGCAGTGATGTGTTTCAGTGCTTCCTCACAACACCTCGCGTCGCTCTAATTCAAGGTTTCATAAAAACAGATCAGTTTAAACTACAAAGAACCCCAAGACAGATCTGGAAGGAATGAAGACTTCACAGCTGAAGAAGACCCCCTTAATATACTCAAGACCAGCTAACAGTCATCTGTTCTTCCGCCAGGAGTGAGCTCTTCTCCTTCACTGGTGTTTCCCCTTTGCCGTATTCATGCACACTGTGCCCCCGCGCCCCAGCCTGTGGTTTCCCGGGTGAAGCGAGCTCTGCTCTCTCAGCCTTGTCTTGGCAGACGGCTCTTCCTTCCCCTGAGCGTTTCACCAGCCCTTTTAGCCATCTAGACATTTTACCTGCATCTTTCTTGAACACAGATGACCAGAACTGTAAATACCATTCCCAAAGAGACCTTACCAGAGATGTGTGAAACAGCATGAAGTATTTATTCCAGCATCACAGAAATCTTGCAGTAATATGTAACATTTCCCCCTTTTTCCCAAGGCTACCTCCCGTCAGTGGCTCATTGTGATCTTGCATTTAGCTTATCTAAATAAACGAGGTAGAGTACATTCTCTTTGTCTAGAAAATCACTTTTCTTGTCACAAAATAAATCAGGTTGGCCTGACACTCGTTCCTTTTGTTAATGACATTGGGTATTTTAGTCCATTTTTCACCGATGATGAACCAGGAACGGAGCTATTACGCAGAAGCCGCATTTCTGCTTTTTCTGCTTCAGCTGACGCAGCCTTTGCTGTCACTTCACACACAGGCAGTTCTGGGCCCGAACTGCCACAGAAACGTCACTGAAACCAAACTTCAGAGGGACTGTGTTTTACAGCCTCCTAGCCTACTTTGCAAAAGCGCGTTTCCGAGCCCAAGGCACAAAATCCCGGCTCCGAGGAGCACGGCTTGGCCAGCGGCAAGGGCTGGCAGGGACTCGCAGTACTAAGGCCCCTTTAGCTGCTCCATATCGTTAGCCCAAGAAAGGGATCCATATGTCAGGAAGCCTACAAGAAAGCCTTGGCTTTCCAAAATACAAATACAGTTCAGCCTGTGAAAAAAGGATGGCAGCGAGAGGGCAGAATTCGCGTTCCAGCCGTTGCTTGAGCTGGGTCCACTGAGAGAACATCAGAGCCTAAAATTAAAAGATCCAGTTTAATTTATTTTGCAAGACATCCTGCTGCATCTGTGGAGCCATCTGACTCTTTCAGGGCAGGGTTACAGAGACAGATCCTGACATATGCAGCAGCAAGAGATGATGAACTAGAGAAGGTCGGGATAAAATATTATTTTCTAAGAGAATTCAACACAGGAGCTCTTCAGAAAGTTCATGTCTCTTGGTTTCAAGTCTGGGTCTTAGCACTGCATCCAGACACAGTCAGCTGAAGACCTTGAAAGGGACTTATCTGCTGTAATTTTGAATGTCTACCACACAGCATCTGCGACAGTCATCTGGACTCCTTTATAATTAGTGAAGAGAAAGACACACATCTGGAGTGTGATTCATCTTGGCTATTTCAGTTGTCTACCTTCGAGTGAGGTGAATCATGACCTAGAAATTACTATTTCTCTGTGTTTAATCGGGTGATGCAGAAGTTTACATTTCCAACATCCCATTTACAATTTGGCCATCACTAAAAAGGGGTAACAAAGAATTGGATTTAACAATAATAATCACAAAAGTAATAGTCAAACATTAAATCACACTCTCCTAGACACAGCAGTTTCTCAGTATGCGAACTTCTTGTACATAAAATGATGTTCTCCATGCCTATCAGAAGAATTCACAAAACCCCAGCCTTGTAAATCTACAATAATGAGGACTTAGATATTTGGGAAAAGCGTCCTACTCATAAGAAGAGGGAGGTAGCTAGAAGAAATGCAATAGGTGATAATGTATGTTTGGCTTTGACATACCCTGCATACTGCTTGTCTTCCAGGTCAAAGTCCTAGTTCCCACCAAAATCAATTATTCTTATCAGTTCGGTGTTCAAACTGAAGAGCCCAAAAAGAAAAGTTCCTCAATGCTTTTACCACGTAACAGTGCAGGAGAAATGCCCAAGAGCATTTCTTAACAACAGACATGAGAATAATTTTTACCGTTTTACGGGAGACTTCAGAGCACTGCCAACCACCTTCTGTCTGGGGTGAAGAAAACACTTTCTCAGTATGCAGAAGACCAGATTAACTACCGTGATGCTGGGCATGGTCTAGGGACCAGGGTCGCTGTTCACTGTGGCTCCTTCTTCACCTCCTAGCAAACACCTGGTCATGGCTGAAGATAAGTACCACGCTAGACAGACGAGAGGCCACTTCTATGTCCTAGCACCACAAATAAATTTACCTAACGAGGAAAAGAAAAGGGAATAAAGACAATGCTCCCTCTAATTTTATGCACTGCTGGCACGTTTCTGGAACACTCACTTAGAACAAGAAGATGGGGTATTATCACTGTATCATCAGGATCGCATCAGCCTTTCCAGGGATTTTCACTACAGGTTTCCAAAGCGCTCCGTAAACCTCCAGTAATTCAGTCACAAACCCTCACTCTAAAGACGCTCACTTAAGACACTTCTAATACCCATGTACGACAGGTGAATGCTTTCACAATAGCAAGCAGAGTCAGTGGAAAGGAATTAAATCATTCCTACTTAAGATCCATGTGGATTTTCCTTTCTCTTCTAGTCTGGTGTTATTTCCAGGATGG